CGATCGGTAAGAGCCTAGAGCGGAAGAGACGGTAGACGGTGCGGTGGCGTGCGTTAGAGCGCAGAGTGCAGAGTAAGAGACGCAGAGGCAAGGTTTTTGCGGCCATCCACCGACAGGCAACTATCGGGCCGCTCGCCAGCGTGGCTTTAGGACCGCCCCACCGTCCGCTGAGAACTGCACTGTATGTACCTGTTTTGATGGGAGCTGACGAGCTTACCGCCGTTTCGGGTGCTGATAAGGCAGAGCATTTTGCAGATGTATTTAGATAAGTAGAAGATAGTGGCCACGTAGAGAGTTGTAGTGAGTGGACTGACTCTTTCACCCAAATGCGCGACTCCATGTGGTTCAGTGTACAAGAAATCTCTGAACTTCTTTCAAGATGGAAGTGTAGTTTCTCTCTCACCCCGGATGGCATTCTTGGGTTCACTTCAATTCATATACAATTTGAGTCTCTTCCGAGCAGAAGTTCCTAATAGATGGAAACTTCTTACTATATAAAAGTTTGTCTGTTGGTGGGTGTGTGTGAATGTTTGTTTGTCTCTTTGTATGGGTATTTGACCGGAAATTCATAACTTCCTTCAGGACAGCGATAGAGTGCCCAAACTGATAAGTGATGTAGAGGGTCGAGCACGAATACTATTGGTGGCTGGCAGGAGGTGATAACAGCTGATAAGATACCACGAGGAGCCTTAGAAGGGTTACCTAATTTATAACGCCGGCTAGAGCAACGACGGGTTGTTGGTTCCAAGTAGTGGGATAGGGGTTAGGATGGGAACATTAGTGCTGGATGGCAGGAAGTAATAACAGCTGATAAGATAACATCAGGAGCCTCAAAAGAGAAGGATCCGCAAATTCATAACATCGGCCACAGCAACGATGGGACGTTGGCCCAAAAAGAAGGATAGGGGGGCAGGATGGGAACATTATTGGTAGATGGCAGGAAGTGATAACAGCTGATAAGATAGCCTCGGAAATTCAAAGTTGTAGCAACACTGGGGAACTGCTCCAGCAAGTAATTCAGAGGTGCTTAGGGAACAGGCTCTTGGGAGTCCGTATATGCTCACATCACCATGGCCAAAAGAACCGATGAGTGAAGGCTTAGTGAGTCAAGATATTTCTATCCCTTAGCAAAAACCTCAGTTAACGGTTGGAATTGTTTCCACCGCTAAACGCTCGAGTTTCAGCAAAAAGAGGATTGTTGGCGAGAGATAAATGATAAGCCACTACGATTTCGACATTTTTACCGTCGGAGTTTGTGCGAAATAGTTTCACAAGAAAGGTTTTGACTCGGAACTGAGTCCTATTTACAGATCTATACCAAGGTCGTAAGAAATGAAATGTTTGCGCTGGATTCTTTACTCTGTAGAAGGGGGAAACAGAACTTCATAACCATGTTTATGATACTTACAGGAAAGTCTGAGGTAAATCTCAGACTTTCCTGCAAGTATATAACACATATGCATACAAGTGTGAATCTATATAACACCCTCACCTTCTGTCCGTCCAACACTCGTGGTGACAAAGTTAAACTCTCCTATTCTAGAGCTAAGTCTAATATTAGAGCCAAGTTTTTTGCTTTACGGGCTTCATCCGAATTCGTGAAGTTTTCGAAGAAACACAGTATGCCTGGGAACTTAGCTCAGCTAAAAAAGATTCTGCATCAACATTTGACTTGAGGGCTACTACGGACTATTCTCATTTTTGAAACTACGTTGATACTTGAGGAGCTGGTCAGGTTCCGAGTTACGTCTTATGTTGCTTTACCTTTTTATCGAATTTCTTTATTAATTATTACATCGAGTACTGAACTTTGCAAGGTCAAATTTGTCAGTTACCTTTTTGTTGGATTTGCAGTTGTTTCCATGTTGTTTCATGTGCCTATGGTGCATGCAATAAATCAAATCGAATCAAATAGGGTTCATTACTGGTAGTCAGTCCACGGGAATCGTCTCAGCGCGCGGCCTTTTCGGTCTTTTACCTCTACAGTTGTTTGAGGCTAGAGGAGGCCTGACGAATGCGTTTCCAACGTTCCCTTTGGCATTTTCTCTTCATAGACGGTTCACTTGGCAAACTTTCTTCCTCATTTCTGCAACATCCCCTAGGTTTTTATCGCGGACCGGGCCTTTGAACCCACTTGTGCATGTGTGCTGATGTGCTTTGTTTGGTGTGGGTGCTGCTCCAAGGGTGCAAATCGACGGATCGAGTTTGTTTCGCAGTTATCACAAAACTGGGGTAATCATGAGAAGTTTCTTGTCTATATGCATATCTCGAGTAGCATCAATTTACTAGTATCTTTCAGCCGTGCGGTCTACTCAATGCCAAGATCACCTCAAAAGAAAGAGTTAGTGAATCTTTATGAATGCTAGTTTTATTCTGCGTCTCATTTTCACTGCCACACAAAATTATAAGCTTGTTGTGTCGGGTGGGTACTGTGGCCGTAATTAGGCGTGAATTCAAGTGCAATGTTGCAGTAAGTGCGCTCAGCGCATCTTGCCCACATTTACAGGTGAAATTTTCATCGAAACTGCCACACACTAAAAGGATGGAGTCCTCGTGCTGTCCCCTATTTGACAGAGGACTAAGCTTCGGCTAGGAGGTAAACGATTGGTCGAGACGACCGTGGCAATGATGGCTGCCATTCTGCAAGCTCTTATCTTCGTCCGGTGCTCATTCGTATCCATAAATTATGAGGTGCGGCCGCGTTCACTGAATGCGTTTTGCAAGTGGAGTGATAACGGTATCAGTAGCAATACCTATGGGTGACACGCCACTGGTGAACACCTTCGGGCCTTCAGACCCATATGGCTGCGTTGAAGGCTCGTTGTCCCACAGCAAGGGCAAGAAGCGAGGGCAGCTCCTCATCGTACATTCCTCGACAGCGCACGCCTCCCTCCTATGGAGTAGTAGAGGGGCGGCCGTGAGGCAAATACCAATGGTTCGCTGTCTCCACCCTCGCTTTGCTTGAAGACAATCTGCGCACTCATCTCAGTGGATCCTGGACTTTGCATATGTGATCAGGTACCACCTGCCGCTGTGAAAATTTTTGGAGATCACGCCCCCCCCCTCCAACTTTGCCCCTCTGCTATGATATCCTCACCTCGCACATCGTACCATCCTACCCGGACCTTGCCGACTTTTCACAACTTCCAACCAGATTTTTAAAACACCCCAAAAGTTTCCCAGTTTCCCCTAAAGTCGAGCGCAAGACTGGAGGAGGTCGTCACGGAAAACTACCGAATTAAACTGCCGAAGAGTAAAGTAAAGAGTAGCTGTATAGTAGTTCTGGAACGCCACTATCTTTTTCATGTACGATCTCTTTCCCAACAATAAGCTAATCCCACGTCCAAGGTGCGGATAGCGCCCTGAAACAGGAAAAATTAGCTATCAGACAGCATTCTTGGACCAAACAGGTCCCATCCCACTGGGATTCTCTAAGGTAAGACGTATCATATCTCGAGTGTACTGTGCCACCTCCACCGCTCGGAGGTGCACTTCAACAGGGTTGGAGAGCGGTGGCACTTTGCCTCCATACAATGCAAGCGCGACTGAGGATGATGCTCTATAAGGGCTTTCGGGGGTTTTTAGCGCTTTTTCTCCAATTCTGTGTGTCATCTCGTCACTAGTATTTGATGAACATAAATCACCATCTTTCATGTTCCTCTGAAAATGGATTCTCAAAAGGAACTCGTTTAGGCGCAAACGGAAAAAGAAGAAGGAGTCAGTGAGTCAATGGCTCTACCAACCTTTATGTGAATGTTCAATGATCAGCTTTCATCATTTTTTTCTAGGCTGAAGCTGTTGAGCAAGAAAAGCACGTCCTTTATGTGAGTAACCTTGACATCGCTCAATTTTCCTTTTTATCAATGGCTTATCGAATCTTCTCAAAATTTCAGCTGCCAAAACGCGAACATGGCGAGCGTTTTCCAGAACTGTCGATCTTACAAAATGACGTTCGGCTTATTGATGCACGTCTGGTGAGATCTTCTTTAATAACGTCTAGAATTCTTCAACTGATAGATTTCCTTGACGACACGAAGTACAGCAGTTCCTTTTTACAGTTCTCAACGGCAGTAGCGAATAGCACTTCCATACAGTGGAGGGAATTCCTGAGGTTGCAGCTGCCATCAGAAAAAGTCAATAGAAGGGTGTAGTGGGTTTATCACCTCTGTCATCTTCAGATCGCGTAGTTGTTGAGAGTCATGCGGGGAACACAAAAATGCAGTAACTTTTCGCCGCAAACTTTGTTTTTTTTGTGCTTCTGAGAAGGCCAAAGAAGAGATGCTGATGGTTAGAATCCCCTAGGAGGCCAGTTCTGGCATACTACTCTCTTGTGTCCGTATAAGCCGGAACCTTTCCTCACAAAAAAGTGCCAAGAAATCTTTTCAAGTATTTTACGAAAATCTTCCATTAAAAAAGCTCCCTATCACCGAGTTCGTGGTGAACTCGTAGCACTATTTCCCCTTCTTTGGCATTACCAGAAGCGTGCCGCCAACCTGAACCACGCTTTTCTCATCCCACATGACCCCTTCAACATGGACGAGACCGCGGAACACCGTAAAACGATTCGAGGTGGGGTTTCACCCCTGAAAAAACTTCTGGCGCAGTTTGTCGACGGGGGGCATTGTGCTTTCCATAGATGTGCCGACCCATCTAGGTAGCCTTTTCTCGAGTTGACACGTTTTAGGATGGTGGCTAGACGATCTTGCTCCAGCTTCACAAGAGTTCACAAGTTTTACCAGAGTGAGATTTGTAAACCGGAACTAGGGAAGCAATGGTAGTACAAAATGCCCCTCCCCGTCGACAAACAGCGCCAAAACTTCTTCCTAAGAATAAGTGATTCCACACTGACTGCTTGTCCGCAGTTCGCCAAGGACATCATTGCGATCCAATTCAGTACCTTTTTGACAATTATTATTTTCACTGGTAAGTTTTACAGTAACCAAGGAACTGGTACGAATGTTGAATGCACGTTTGCGAAGCCTCGAGAAAGCTCTTCGTGGATGTTGTATAGATCATATATCCGAGCGGATGAGGTAGTACTACATTCTACGATGTCTTCTTTGATGAACAGTACATGCAGTGAGGGTCGCTGCGGAGGCTGGGGAATGTCAGTGGGACAGGTCTCGGCGCAGCACCAGCATTTTTGCTCTTTTCCAAGCAGGCAAGCAACAAAGTGTTTGGGGAAACAGGGTGGCGCCGCGCCAAAACTAGCTCGTCCGTCCCTCCCCCTGATGCCCCAGCATCCGAAACAGGTTCAATATACGTGGCATTCCAGTTGACTGTGCTCGACTACAAGGAAACGAAGCTCTTCTATCTTCAATATATGCCACAAGCCCTTCTAACTAGGGAAGGCAGATTTGTCGCTGCAGTACATCACGGATTGGTTAAGGTGGCTCATCAAATCCTTAATTACACAGCAGTTTCATAAACGAGTTGGCTTGCAAAGTCATAGATAGTCTGGCCGCGCACTGCCGTGCCCAGGTGTTGGGCTATCCACTTTGTGACACTGCTGCAAAATTTCTTTGCATTTACGCCCCCACCGCTTCCCGTCAAGACCTAACTGGTGGCAAGTTGCCGAGCAATTACCAGCTAGGAAACTTCAGCAAGTTTGTGCGTGCCGACACATCTTGCTTTTCTAACCGACGCCCCGAATTGTGGCTTGTGAGAGGTGCTCCATTACTGAAACGATCACTTACTTCAGCATCGCGTTTATTATGCGTAATGAACTGGAGAGACGTCGAAATGGAATCCGATCGTTTGGTGGAGGAAATCGTGCAATAGTTACAGATTTATGCATCACACCACTTCACGCCACTCACCGGAAATCATTTGCTAAAGAGCAGGTGCGCTAGAGAACTTTACTCAATAATTGGATGGCGTTGAAAAATCAATAGGATCTGATGACCACTCTGTCTTTCTCATTGGCACGCCTGCTCTTCTTACGTACCGGGAGGAGAAGGGCACGAAAACGAACCCAGAACGTTTAATATACGCCCAACTGTAAGCCCCCGCAAATTTTTGCGTCCATCCGACTATTGCGGCAGCACCTTATTGATGAGAGAGAAAAATGAGAACTTCAAAATAATGACCGTCGAGGCCCTCGGGCTCCACACATACTAGGTGGACTAGAGGTGAAATGTCGAAAAGGAGACGCAGAGGAAAGGTTAAAAAGTATTGGACATGCAGTTATGCAGGTGGTGAGGTCCTCTCCTCTGCATGATGCTATTGTAACTTCTGGGTTTATGTGGTTTTCGTCCATGCAAGCAGATGCAGATATTCGGGGTTTGGAGAAGGTTGATACGCACGAATCACTTTGAGATGTATTATTTAGTCATCTACGTACCTTCGAGTTCATGCTAACTCGGAGCCTGAGTCCACGACTCCCCCTCCCCCTCCTCCCAAGCTACCCAGTACGACTCCCGACGAGTTGCACAACGATGATGTAACCTGAGTGGCGGCCAGCGCATACGTTTCAGAGATTAAATCACGGATTGGCTTTACCTCAGGCCAACCAAGCCTTCTACCCTCCAGAAACGGTAAGTTGGCACCAGATCCGTGTGAACGGATAAAGACGCTGGCTTGCACACTGGCTGGTCCAACGAGTCATTGTATGAGTTGCGTCGCACTGAATAGCCGATTACGATTCTGAATGGAATAGAATGTGTAACACACACCATCCGTTTTCAGTGATCTTCAGCACATCATTCTCTTCCTCATCCGTTTGTCATCCTTTGTGTTTGCAGTTGAGGAACATAAAAATTTGGCCCCTAATGGTGGCCGAGATGGCTCAAGACATTGTGAAATCAATAAAGCATCGCATTTTATTTATAGAAAACGTGATTCGCTTTGGCGGTGTTACAACTATTGTAAAGGTATGCACGTCTTGGAGTTGTTCTCACCTCTTGGAATGCTATGAGAGCGGTTGTTTAGGAATTCATAAAAGAAAACAAGAGTGGATCGATGGACGACTAAAACTGGAAAATGCCTACAAGCAAATTGTTCTCGGAAAAAATCGAATAGAGTTTGTTCCTCTTGAACCATATCCTTTCTGAAATACAATCCCTACGATCAAGTATCATGG